TAAAAAAATATTTGGAAACGTGAATGGAAGATAGCAGAGAAAGGAAGATAGATGAGAATGGAAGATAAGATAAAAATGGATAATAGGTACTTAGTTGGAAAACAGCAGAGTACACCAGTAGGGATAGCAGTCACAAAAAAATCCTGGAAAACAGAAATCCAATCTATGCAAATTCTACGCCTTGGGTATCTGCAGGCATGGTGTATCTGGTGTATCTGCAGGCATGGTGTATCTGCAAGCATGGTGTATCTGGTGTATCTGCAGGCATAGTGTATCTGCAAGCATGGTGTATCTGGTGTATCTGCAGGCATGGTGTATCTGGTGTATCTGCAGGCATGGTGTATCTGGTGTATCTGCAGGCATGGTGTATCTGCAAGCATGGTGTATCTGGTGTATCTGCAGGCATAGTGTATCTGCAAGCATGGTGTATCTGGTGTATCTGCAGGCATAGTGTATCTGCAAGCATGGTGTATCTGCAAGCATGGTGCATCTGCAAGCATGGTGTATCTGGTGTATCTGCAGGCATGGTGTATCTGGTGTATCTGCAGGCATGGTGTATCTGGTGTATCTGCAGGCATGGTGTATCTGGTGTATCTGCAGGCATGGTGTATCTGGTGTATCTGCAGGCATGGTGTATCTGGTGTATCTGCAGGCATGGTGTATCTGGTGTATCTGCAAGCACTGTGTATCTGCAGGCATGGTGTATCTGGTGTATCTGCAGGCATGGTGTATCTGGTGTATCTGCAGGCATGGTGTATCTGGTGTATCTGCAGGCATGGTGTATCTGGTGTATCTGCAAGCACGGTGTATCTGCAGGCATGGTGTATCTGGTGTATCTGCAGGCATGGTGTATCCGCCTGAAATGCCTAGGCCTGCTAGTGATCTTCTTTGTAATTAAGACTTAACATTTAAACCACACATTGTAAACTTTACAGGGAAATAAACATTGACATTGTCAAAACAGGTGGGACATGCACTTTCGACCATCTCAAATAATGCCGCACCCACATGACAACATAAGAGTGCAGCTCCACTTCCTGTAACTTATTTCACCCTGAAATGTGCCACTCGTCAGTCCATGAAAGACAATGATACAACATAAACTGTCAGTCGCATCATCTATAAGGGACAAGAAGATACAGATCACCTGAACCATGGGAAACAAAAGAGGGGAGCCAAACCCTCTCCAGAGAAGGTTTTTTAGTGCCAGGAAGGCACTAACATGCACTAACAACAGTTATTAATGCCAGCAAACAAAGTCCCCCTAAATTCCATCAATATAACGACATTTATCTTTGCATACATACAGGGTCTAAAGCCATCAATAATGAGATACCTTACATCAAGGGGCTGCTCACGGAGTTGAATGCAATGTTTGTGGCTTTCACAGAAACCCCACATAAAGGATCATTGTGACAAAATATGGCAACAAAATAGGCAACAAGGGGGGGTTGGCCTGTATGTCAGAGAGTCGCTCATTTGCTCACAACTACTAAACACCTTAAATGATTTAGTACAATAAGGCTCCTAAATTACTGGGAACTGTTGAAGTCCCTTGATTTGTATTTTCTGGAACTCAGGCGAGAAAGATAAATGATAATATACACTTGGAAAATCCTAGAGAGATTAGTACCAAACTTGCACACGAAAATCACTCGCTACGAAAGCAAAAGATTCGGCAGGAGATGCAACATTCTTCCAATGAAAAGCAGGGGCGCCACGAGTACACTGAGAGACAACACAGTAAGTGCCAGGGGACCAAGACTGTTCAACTGCCTCCCAGCATACATAAGGGGATTACCAATAGACCCCTGACTGTCTTCAAGAAGGCACTGGACAGGCACATAAAGCCAAAACCTGACCAACCAGGCTGTGGCTTGTACGTCAGTTTACGTGAGACCAACAGTAACAGCCTGGTTGATCAGGCCCTGATCCACCACGAGGCTGGTCATGGACCGGGCCACGGGGGGCGATGATCCCTGAAACCCTCCCCAGGTATATTTCCTCTGTGCTTACCTTTGGTTCATCCCTCCTTATGTACCCTATTTTCTCCTTGTCCTATGTATAAAATAAAAAAAAAACTAGAAGGAACTGATTACCTCAATCTACTCACCCCAAATGACCTGACCCAACATTGTAAGTGACCTGACCCAGCACTGCAGGTGACCAGACTCAACATTGCAAGAAACCTGACCCAACATTGCAAATGACCTACCCAACATTGCAAGTGACCTGACTCAACATTGTAAGTGTTGAGAAATCGTTTACCAGCTAAGGTTAAAGATTAAATATAGGGTTAACTTAGCTTGGTAAGACAGCTCATCACCTGCACAGCCGCCCCTGCAGGCGAGGTCTTGAGAAGTCATAACCACTTCGCAACGGGCTGTAAGAGAGTATATTATGTATGATCATAAATTACCCCTAGGGGGTGTTATGTCAGCATATATCAGACACTGATTGCTGACAACACTTACTTGTGTGGACTCAAAGGTCCACTTATCACCGGGGTTTATGATAAGTGACTAACTCGCAACTTTATACTCAACTGCGCAGTTAATAGTAGTACATCACGAGTTAGTACACTTACCTGGGTATATGCATCTGACCCGTAGTTACGCCCGATTATCCGATGTCTTGATGGAAGAATCGTTGTTACACTGTTCATCAATAATTGTTCACACCATAATGTCACTAAAGAAGCTGATCACACTTCTCTGTGTCTATTGAGATTATTTTGTGCAAAATGTGCAGAACATTGTTCTTTGTTGGTTATCCCGGCACGTCACTGTCTCTCTCAGTAGAGTCAAAAGTAATCTGACCTCACAGCGTCCTACGCCGCTGCAGTGCCCCTAGAACATAAAGGAGAAACCGACCTAGTACTTTTTGCTTTCTTGTCAAACTTCCTCCATGAAGCAAAGCAGAATGCTTGATTCTTGCTGTCTTAAGCATAGACAACAATGTACACTATCTTTACCATGGTAATAAAGTGGGAGCAGGATTTTCCTTAATTGTCCTGCTAAAGTAAGAGATGGACTGTCTCTTATTAAACTACACTTTGCAACACTGGACTCTTGCAAGGAGCGGCGGTCGCTTGACCACGTCACATAATCGTACTGCATCTGGGATCAATTACTTGCTGTAGCAGTAAACAAAATGTTTGCCCCTTCTGAGAGGGCTGGGCCCCTCAGGGCTGAAAGGGGCTGAAGGGGGCTGATACCCCCTCTTGGAGAAAATTTCTCCACAGTGACTTACCCAACATTGCAAGTGACCTGACCCAACATTGCAAGTGACCTGACCCAACATTGCAAGTGACCTACCCAACATTGCAAGTGACCTACCCAACATTGCAAGTGATCTACCTAACATTGCAAGTGACCTTCCCAACATTGCAAGTGACCTTCCCAACATTGCAAGTGACCTTCCCAACATTGCAAGTGACCTACCTAACATTGCAAGTGATCTACCCAACATTGCAAGTGACCTACCCAACATTGCAAGTGACCTACCCAACATTGCAAGTGACCTACCCAATATTGCAAGTGACCTACCCAACATTGCAAGTGACCTACCCAACATTGCAAGTGACCTTCCCAACATTGCAAGTGAGCTTCCCAACATTGCAAGTGACCTACCCAACATTGCAAGTGACCTACCCAACATTGCAAGTGACCTACCCAACATTGAAAGTGACCTACCCAACATTGCAAGTGACCTTCCCAACATTGCAAGTGACCTTCCCAACATTGCAAGTGACCTTCCCAACATTGCAAGTGACCTACCCAACATTGCAAGTGATCTACCTAACATTGCAAGTGACCTTCCCAACATTGCAAGTGACCTACCCAACATTGCAAGTGACCTACCCAACATTGCAAGTGACCTACCCAACATTGCAAGTGACCTACCCAACATTGCAAGTGACCTACCCAACATTGCAAGTGACCTTCCCAACATTGCAAGTGACCTTCCCAACATTGCAAGTGACCTTCCCAACATTGCAAGTGACCTGACCCAACATTGCAAGTGACCTTCCCAACATTGCAAGTGACCTGACCCAACATTGCAACACCAGACAGGCCATAATTCACTCAACGCTCAAAAATGCCATATTAAATTCCCATAAAAAACAATCTTTTTTACAAGCTTCTATGTAATCCCTAATGTACATTGATTTATCAATAGAGTAATTTATATAATACATGCGTTGTCAGCACTAACAAACGCCCCACCCATTTTAATAATACGTTTTGCACCAAAAAAAATTATATAGAGCTTGAAGTATTTTAAAACTAGCTTTAATCGTTATGTTAAATGATCTTTTCACACAATGTTTTTATAGCAAATTTATCAGTAATTGATTTTTCGTTCGTGAAATATATTTTGACTTGTGGTGATCGCTATATATATTATAATATATATATATATATATATATATATATATATATATATATATATATATATATATATAATATATATATAATATATATATATATATATATATATATATATATATATATATATATATATATATATATATATATATATATATATTGTGTGTGTGTGTATATATATATATTGTGCCGAATAGGTAAAACTTGCGATGTTGGCTTAAATAGCGATGCTCTTATTGCCGAATAAGACAAGCTAAAATTCGTTATTTCAGGTGCTCGACTACGAGGGTCTTGTTATTTCAGGTGCTGGACTACGAGGGTCTTGTTATTTCAGGTGCTGGACTACGAGGGTCTTGTTATTTCAGGTGCTGGACTACGAGGGTCTTGTTATTTCAGGTGCTGGACTACGAGGTCTTGTTATTTCAGGTGCTGGACTACGAGGGTCTTGTTATTTCAGGTGCTGGACTACGAGGGTCTTGTTATTTCAGGTGCTGGACTACGAGGGTCTTGTTATTTCAGGTGCTGGACTACGAGGGTCTTGTTATTTCAGGTGCTGGACTACGAGGGTCTTATTTCAGGTGCTGGACTACGAGGGTCTTGTTATTTCAGGTGCTGGACTACGAGGGTCGTGGAGGAGTGACGGTGATAACCAAGGCCAGCACTAACACTGTCAGTCACCTCCTCATGAGAGACGCGAGGCCGGAGGACTCTGGCGTGTATGCTTGCAGACCATCTAATGGCGAGGACGCCTACGCTACACTGCACGTTCTTAATGGTCAGTGTGGTAGTAGAGGACGCCTAAACTAACCTACACGTCCTCAGTAGTCAGTATGATAGTCGTAGAGGACACCTAACTAACCTACATGCTTTTAATAGTCGCTAGTCTGCCCGAAATGCCTCGGCATGATAGTGCCTTTCTTTGAACCAATCAAATTATGAAATGTAAACACACATTGTAACCTTAGCAAAAAAATAGTTTTGATTGTGATTTTTTATTTGATATGATAGTATAGGATGCGTACATTAACCTACACGTCCTCAGTAGTCAGTACGATAATAGAGGACGCCTACACCAACCAACACGTCCTCAATAGTCAGTATGATAGTAATAGAGGACGCCTACACTAACCAACACGTCCTCAATAGTCAGTATGATAGTAATAGAGGACGCCTACACTAACCAACACGTCTTCAGTAGTCAGTATGATAGTGGACAACTACACTAACCAACACGTCCTCAGTAGTCAGTATGATAGTGGACAACTACCCTACACTACACATTATAAACGGACCGCTGTTCGATCACCTCGTCCACCCTTCTGTTTATTCCCCGACCTTTGCTTGTTACAGTTTAGTTCAAGTTCATAGACGACGTGAGCTTGAGGGAGATAAGAATAGATCAACTGCTAAAGCTCCTGGTACGAGGAAAGGAGTTCACTTGGGTTACAGTTGGTGCCTACGACGGAATATAATACAGTATTACCTCCGAATCCTTCTTATTAGAGGCCTGGGTTACTTAAGACAGTTGAACATAGGACTGTCAATTTACGGAGCGCGGTTCGAACCCCTTGAACACCATATATATATATATATAATATATATATATATATATATATATATATATATATATATATATATATATATATATATATATATATATATATTATTGTGGAAAATTGCATTTACTTGGATGTATTATTATATACATAACAGTAAATGAACAGATTATTATTTATCAGTTAGACAAGTAGGAATTTGGGACACCTAGGTAGCAAAAATGTCCCCCTTCGATACCTACCACTGTCATAACCACAAGTTGCTCTGGACCTATTAATTAAATGAAATATACATACACCAGGAATACTGGTAAATATATAAATTTGTGGACTGTATATTAAAAATAATAAATGGTTATATATATATATACACAATTACATAACAGAAGGAAAATATATCTTAATATCACTCACCAATTTGACTGGAGATTAATGTGTATCATACTCAGAAAACCTCACTCTAACTAAAGCTATGAAAATAATGCTGGCCAGAATTACACACACATCTAGAGAGCTTATCTGAGGTTCCTGGAGCTGTCTTGTCCAGTCGTCTGATATCTCAAGTTATGCAGGAATGAACATCCACCAATTTCGCCTCCTATTTGAGAGGTGTCAGCACAATTTTAACCTCTAGAGCACGAAAAATTCTTCCCCATTCACCGTTTCTAATACAAATTCAAAACCAAGATGGCGAGTGTCTTCTTTTTTTTCAATAACATACTTCTTTTAAAAATACAATATAGGGCATCTATTTACCTATAAATTACCGTATTTCCGGAAAATATATACAGTATTTTCCACACTGCAGCCAGCCGGAGTTCGTTGCTAAACGACTCAAATTACTCCTTCCTTTAGGAGACGATTCCAGCCGGTTCTGGCTTAAGTGGCTGTTCTCCTAGTAGGTCTTACTACGATTTCATCTTCCAGCATCATTTGGTCAGCGTTATCTTCCATATCACTCGTGTCACTTTCCCTCAGATTTTCATTTACATTTGATTGAGCACCTAATTCCAAGGGATTCAATTTATTAATTGTGCGTAAACTTTCCTGGCCACGACACAACACTTTGACATTCCTGACAACACCTTGTGCATCTGGGTACAATGTCAATACTTTGCCCAGAGGCCACAATGTTCGATGTTGTTCAGTGTCAATTAACACAATGTCACCTGGTTGAATGGTCTGTCGATTTACTGCCTCTGTCGCACCATAAAAGTGTTCACGTAGTGTAAGAAGATATTCCTTATGCCACACATTAGACCAATGATCAATCACTTTATTTAACATTTTAACTTTATTACACAACACTGCCGCATCATTGTAATCTTCATCACTTACTTTCGGATTATCTCTATAGACAGGGGCAGCTTCCAATTTCCTTCCACATATTAGGTGAGAAGGTGTTAATACATCTGCATCAGGTATATCACTCATGTACGAGAGAGGCCTATTATTTATACGATTTTCTGCCTCCACTAACACTGCACGGAATTCTTCCGGTGTAGTACTTTGCGGAGACACCTCTTCACTGTGCCTATCAGTCTTTCGTACAGCTTCCCCTGCCAAGGGGCTCTAGGAGTAATAAATTTCCAGGTACACCCTCGCTGGGTTAACAGAGATTGAACATCGTTACTATTATTTAATTCTATCAAGTGTTGAGCACCTGCTACAAAATTTGTGGCATTATCCGAAATCATCAACCTCGGACAGGATCTCCTAGCTGCAAATTTTCGAAACAGCTGTATAAACTGTTCTGCAGACAAGTCCTGTGCCACTTCTAAATGAACTGCCCTAGTAGCAGTACAGGTGAACAAACAAACATACACTTTCAGTGGAACACCATTTGACGTACCTGTTAAAATTATTGGACCACTATAGTCTACACCTGTTACATCAAATGGTTTCACTAATTGTACACGCTCCTTTGGCAATGGTGGAGGACATATTACACAATGGTGGCGACATATTACACAAGATTTAATCACCCTTTTTACACTTTGCCGTCCTTGTGGAATCCAGAAAGTTTCCCTAATACAATTTAAGGTATCATGTACCCCACCATGCATTACATTTTTATGGGCATTTAAAACAATCAAATTTGTTAGATGATGAGTTTTGGGCATTAAGATAGGGTGTTTAGCATAATCACCCAATTCAGCATTTTGTAACCTACCTCTGCACCTAATTACACTTTTTCTCTAAATACAGCCCCAATTTCTCTATTATGGAACCTTTCACAATTTTTCTTTCCATCATCAATTTAATCTCATTTCCATAGATTTCCTCCTGTACCCTCTTTATCCAATATTCAAGAGGATGTGAAAACTTATATGAAATATTCATCTTGTTTAGAAATTTAAACACCAATTTAGTTACATTGATTAGTTTGGGTAAAGGAGAATACCTATTTATATCAATGGCTAAGGAAGGACAAACTATTGGAGCGGTGGTCACAGTAATTTCAACAGGAGCAATATACGCCTTTTGTACAGGCCAATTAGCTTTATTTGCCAACCAGCTCGGTCCTTTAAACCATGATACAGCATTTACAAATTTAGCATAAGATAAACCTCGAGACAAGAAATCAGCTGGATTCTCCTCACCAGGAATATGATTAAATGTTAACATATGCTGACCCAAACTATTATACTTCTCTTGCATCTGATTAATTTCAGTGACTCTGTTTTGTACGTACACAATTTTACTGTTTTCATTACGAATCCATTGTAAGGATACCTCATTATCAGACCAAATTACAGTGTCGCTAATATTTATCTCCTGAAAACTTATTTCTTATATAATTAGCTAATTTGACACCTACATAAATGGCTGTTAATTCCAACTGAGGTAAGGTACATGATTTAATTGGAGACACTTTAGCCTTAGACATAACAAGAGAAATAACACTATTACATTGAAGGTAAGCAACTGCTCCATATGCCAATTTTGAAGCATCACAAAAAATGTGGAGTACATTTTTCCCATTTGGATTGGCCACCTGGCGTGGGAACTCCAACATTGGAATTTTCTCATAATCACCAATTAATTCATCCCACCTGTTAATGAATTCCTCAGGTAGAATTTCATCCCAAGCACATTTAAGTTTCCATGCTTCCTGAATTAATAATTTCCCTCTTATAGTAAGGGGTGACACTAAACCTAGTGGATCAAAACACTTGGAAACTTCAGCAAGCAAAACTCTCTTAGTTAATTTATTGGGCATACTGTAATTATTAGGTTTTAACATTAACAAATCTCTCTCAGTATCCCAATTTAAACCCAATACATTACTACATTTTGGCACTTCATCTCCAGGGTAATCTTTACTTATTTTGTCCTTCAATTTGGACGAATTACTATTCCATTCTCTCAGAGGCATATTTGCACTTTGCATTATTTTATTAGCCTCTCCATAAGTCATTAACAGTTCCTCTTCAGTTGACCGTCACACACAGGAAATTGTCCACATAAGAAGCGGGTACAATCCCGGTCAGCCTCTTGTAAACCCACTCTTAGGAAAGCTTTACTTATGTCAGCCGTAAAGGCATAATTCTTTACTCTGAAATTTAATAAGATATCTCCTAATTTTTCCGTCAACGACGGACCTGTCATCAAACAGTCATTTAAACTAGGTACATTTTTGTTATTCCTGGCACTACAATTAAACACAATTCTCAGAGGAGTGGTCTTAGAATCCTTCTTCACTCCGTGATGGGGCAAATAGTGACCATAAATTTTGGCTTGCTCAGGAGGTACCTCTTCTATAAATTTATTAATTAACTGCTCAGCAATTATATCATTATAGGCAGTTAACAATTCTGGTGTCTTACTCAGTTCGCGGAGCTGAGCTTTTAACTGCCCATATGCCATTCTGTAATTAGTGGGCAATTCTGGATGGTTCAGTCTCCACGGAAGTCGTACCCAGTATTGTCCAGATTCAAATTTTACATCTTTCAGGTACTGCTCCTGAGTAAAAGAATCGTCTGGACTTTCTTCATTTACATTTATTCCAATGCTGTCTAATTCCCACAATTTATGCAATGGCTCAACACCATCCTCTATGGAAGAATTATACTGGGGCACGACTTCATGAGTAAGACACACAGTTATGATATTTGTAGTTTCCTCTAGTCATGAATTATTATTACGAGGAATCCTACCATACATTACATGGTCTCCCGCAGTCTTCAAAAGGGTGACACCACATTTCTTTACCATA